CACGTTTGACAATAAAGCGACACGCCAAGTGGAAGACCACGTTGGGTCTGTGTCTCGAGCCAAAGCGGATAATCCCTGCCAGCCAGAGCTTCATCGTCGAAGTCAGCTCAGCTCGCAGCAGGAATACTGGCTGGAACATACACGTCACGACAGCTCGAGTGAGCGCGTCAGGCTTGGCCTTGCTGTCGTTGTACGCCGTCCCAGACTTCCTCTAACAAACTATCAATATCCTTCGAGGCCTGGACCAGTGACCCAGCCAGTTGAGCCAGCGTGAGAGACAGCACGTTGACCATCTGAATCAACGCCGAAGGGTTCATGCCGGCAGTGGGCAACGCCTCGACACACGCGTCGTAGGTCGCTCGAAGTAGTTTCGTGTCGATGAAAGACGAGGATTCCACGACACGATCCAGATAGGATCCACAGGACGCATCCTGCCCTTACCGTCGCCCCCACACGCTTGGCTTGTGCTGGAGTAGGTGAATGGTAGAGTGAGAGACGACACTGAGAGAGCGACGGGGTGCCCGCAGGTCCCAGCAACCTCGTAAAATGGATACTGCTGAGAAACGTTACGAACTTCGACAATGGGTGCCAATCATTATTACGAAACTTAAACTTCAAGAATGGTTTAATAATGGGTGCCAATCATTATTACGAACCTCAAACGAGGGGCTGCCAGTCATTCGGCAACCGGAAACAATGGAAAGCGCCGACAAGAAATACAGCGAATCAATAGAAGGTAGAGCAGCATAGCGATGCATCCTTACATACAAACGATTGAAGTACAGCACGGCTGGACAGTCAATATGCATTGGATCAGGCGAAGATATGCAAGTCGTAGATATGGTTTGAAATCATTGAGATAAACAGTGTAATGCGTATTTCATCCAGCTAACTCGCACCAGTCGATACGGAATGTATTCTAGCGCTTCTGATTCTCAAAGACCCGCCGACAGCATCCTCTTCATGTCTGATGTGGAGTTCTAGATCGTTCGTGGGAGGTCATAGCCCCACGATGCAGTGCACGTACCTGGAGCGTCGGGGCTAAGGCCGTATCTACCTTCTACGGACGCATTACGGACTCTATGCGTATGGACCCGTTAGCGAGGCTACATGGGGAGGTGGAAAGCGTCTCGGGGCTTGCCTGCTTCTCAAAACAACGATAAGACAACTTTCATCAATCTACCAGGGGCGTCGGCCAAAATATGGCTCTGGAGCGTCGGGGCTAAGGCCGTATCTACCTTCTACGTACGCATTACGGACTCTATGCGTATGGACCCGTTAGCGAGGCTACATGGGGAGGTGAAAGCGTCTCGGGCTTGCCTTGCTTCTCAAAACACGATATGACACTTTCATCAATCTA